CACACTGGGACACACACACTGTGACACACACTGTGACACACACACTGTGACACACACCCTGTGACACACACACTGTGACACACACACTGTAGGACACACACTGTGGGACACGCACACTGTGGGACACACACAGTGACACACACTGTGGGACACACACTGTGAGATACACGCCACCTGTGGGATATTTGCCACGAGATGTGGAACATGCCTGTGAAGCAGCACATTTGTATCATTTTTTATTATTCTGACACAGATTTTTGCCTTCCTGCACAAGCCCTGGCTGGCAGTGCTGCAGCTCCCAGAGCCGTGCCCGCCTTTGCTGGGGAAGGAGGGTTTATATGGGGACCTGAGTTTATGTGGAGCTTCCTGCAGGCTTCCTGGGACAGACAGTACCCAGGGGTTAAAGCTTCATCTCAGCCTGTTTATGTGCTGACAAGGAAATGTGGTGACAGAGAATCCCAAACAACTTCAAAGCAAGATCTGTGGATCTGATATGGAAACTATTCTGAAAGTCCAGGAGCGCCTGTCACTTCGGTGGGGACACAGCCGGGGCAGACCCATTCCCAAAGCCCAGCCTGGCCCTGTGCCCACCCCAGCGAGCCCAGAGCTCCCGCCCTGGGGAGGGAATTTGGGTAAAGTTGTGCTTTTGGGCGTCTCCTCAGGCAGAGGGAGGAGCGTCACAAGGCCCTGATTCACGTCCTGTGCAGTCCCCAGGTGTCCTCCCTTGGCACGGGCAGGTGAAACCCCTTGAGGGTGGCACTCGGTGCCATCAGCTGCTGCACTGGGGCTGCGTTTGGGCCCTGTGCTGTGGTGGGAGGCTGAGGAAGCTGAAGCAGAGGCGAGGGGGGACTCTGGTGTCCCCACAGTTGGTGTGGCCACGAGCAGAGGCAGCGCTGTGACTCCACCGTGTGATGGGTTTATCTCGTGTCCTGTACCGGCGAGTATGCGGCCACATGCCAGGGAGGGAGCGAGTTCTCAGCTATAAAAAGCTTTTGTTTTATCCAGAGCTGCTACTTGAGCTCTCACCCCTCACTCTCTGTGACCAAGCAGAGCCCGTGTGCCCTCAGATGTGTCTGGATCAGCTCAGGCATCTGTTTCCTCTCTCCAAACACATCCGTGGGCACCAGGAACTCCATGTGCTGCCCAGCAAGGAGATGTTTGCTCCCTGCATCCCTGCTCTCCCCAATCAGGGATCTCCCCTAATTGATTCTGATTCTCTGTGTGTAAAGAAGTATTTTTAAATACCCATTGTTTATTCTGTAGTAACAGCCAGAGGAGCTGCTCTGATCCATGGCATAAACATATTTTCCCAGAGTTTTCTAAACAACCCTTGACCCGCTGGCTTCCTGTGGCGTTTTGCCAGGCTGGCTCTGCCTCCCCCACTGCCAGTGGCCATGCAGGTAGAGCCAGGCCAGAGGTCCTGGCCGGTAGCAGGGAAGGGAAAGGGAAAAGGATGCTTCCCCTGGTGCCAGCCCCGGGCTGGACAGTCTCCATCCCTGCGGGGGCTTGGATCAAGGCTCTGGAGCAGCAGGGATGGGGGTGAGGGTTGGGTGAGACCCAGCACCTCTGTGCTTCAGCTTTTCCAGCTGTAAAACTGGGACAAAGATACGGAGCCACGTTACTTCCCCGGCGGTGAGGAAAGCCGGGGACTCTCCCTTCCCCTCCCCAGTCCCGCCTGATCCCTGGGAACGGGGCAGGGACCGAGCCCTCCTGCGGGGACGGGCACCGCTCTGAGGTGCAGAGAGAAGCCCTCAGGACGGGGGGCTGGACGCCTGCTTGGTCCCTCGGGAGCGCCTGGCTGTCTGTCCTGCCGTGGGCAGTGTGTCTGTCCGTGGCTGGGAATGCAGGGGGAGCTCCCCGCTGGGCACGGCAGGGTGAGGAAAGCCAGAAATGCCATAGGGACTGTCTGCAGGAGAACAGGCAGTAAAATGCCAGGGATGAGCCTGGCAGCCCCTTGGGTGTCGGAGCCAGCACAGAGCCCGGCTCTTCAGGACAGCTGGGGCTGCCAGGGAAGTGGAGGCAGGGAGGGAAGGAGGAGGCAAGGATGGGAAGCAGAGGTGAGGATGGAAAGCGTAGGGAAGGTGGGAAGCCAGCAGCCCCTGGTCACTCCGGGGGCTGGCAGAGCTGGGCATCCTGCCCCATGGCTGGCCTTTGGTGACTCCCCACAGCCGAGCCCAAAGCCCCCAGCACCCAGGGACATTCCCACGGGTGCTCCTGCTTTGCTTGCAGACCCAAGGCCGGCCCCGTGTGCTGCTGTGCCCTGGAGCCGGCCGGACACACGGCAGGCTCCCTGCGCGCCGTGCCTGTGCCAGGGGCCGGTCTGGAGCCAGCACAAAGTGCCCTGTGAACAGCAATTCCCAGCTCGCTCCCAGCCAGCAGCAAATGCCGCGGCTGGGAGCTGAGTGAGATCGGAACAAGCCCTTGGCCGAGGGCTTTGAAAATGCAAAACAGCCTTGTAAAGATGAAGCTCGTAAAACCAGGACTCTGCTTTTGTAGCTCATGAATGGGAAGAAATGCCAACCGGATCATTTTTACACATATTTTTTCCGTCTTTGTCAACATTCCCCCATTTGGCTGAAACTTCAAACTGCTGCATTTGGAGACCGTCTGTCTTAGAAGTTCCAATATTTGTATAAATAACTGATAGGGAAAGATGATCCACTCTGGAGTCTGCCCAGGGGCCCTGGGAACAGTGATGGGGCTGTGGAGCCTCCCAGAGTTTTGATGGTTCTCCAGTGCCAAGTGAGCAGGGCAGGATTTGTGGGTGGGGGTCTCCAAACACCGGCACCCACCCAAATTCAGGAAGGGGGGCAAGAAATGTCCCCTCCATCCACTGGGAAGGAGACTCCAGCAATACCTATGGAAGTGAAATGGTGACTGGGGCCCTGGGTGTCATCTTTGGAAGCGGCTGTCAACTTGTCAACCCTGTGCTGATGTCGGGGCAGGGGACGACAGGGGTGTCACTGTCCCCGCCAGGGACAGTCTGTCCTGCCCAGGGAGAGTCGGAGCAAGCGAGGGCTGCACGGGGACGGGGACGCGGGGCACGGTGAGGGCGGCACAGAGGGCTGAGGGCTCACGGAGAAGGACCGGGAGCACAGGGAGGGGATGTGTGCATGGCAGGGTGCAGAACAGGGACAGAAGCGTGAGACTGGGGACTCAGAGAGGGGCTGGAGAGCACAGGGAGGGGATGGAGAGAGCGGAGAAGGGCGGGAGGGCACGGCGAGGGGCTGAGGCGTCCGGCGAGGATGCCGGGGGGAGCGGGGCGGGCCGGGGCAGCGCGTCCGGGGGGAGGAGGTGCCGCCGCTCCCATTCCCTCGCCCTCCGGAGCCAGCAGCCCGGGGCCGCCCCCCGCCTTTAAAGGCTCCTCCTCCGGCGCGGAGGGGACCCGGCCCCGCCGGTCCGGCCCGAGGGCTGCGCCGGGAGCGCGGCGGGGAGCGCACGGCGGGGCGCGGGGCCGCTGCCCCCAGCCCGGCCGAGATGAGCCCCCTCCCCGCGGGCAACGGCAGCGCCTGGGGGGGCTCCGGCAACTGCAGCGGGGCCGGCAGCCTGGGCCGGCAGTGGGTGCTGGGGGCCGCCATCAGCCTCACCGTCCTGGTCACCGTGGCCGGTAACTTGCTGGTGATCGTGGCCATCGCCAAGACGCCGCGGCTGCAGACCATGACCAACGTCTTCATCACCTCGCTGGCCTGCGCCGACCTCATCATGGGCTTGCTGGTGGTGCCGCCAGGGGCCACCATCCTGCTGAGCGGCCACTGGCCCTACGGCACGACGGTGTGCGAGCTGTGGACCTCGCTGGACGTGCTGTGTGTCACGGCCAGCATCGAGACGCTGTGTGCCATCGCTGTGGATCGCTACCTCGCCATCACCTCCCCGCTGCAGTACGAGGCGCTGATGACCAAGGGCCGGGCCCGGGCCGTGGTGTGCCTGGTGTGGGCCATCTCTGCCTTCATCTCCTTCCTGCCCATCATGAACCACTGGTGGCGGGACGGGGCGGACGAGCGGGCGGCGCGCTGCTACGACGACCCGCGCTGCTGCGACTTCGTCACCAACGTGACCTACGCCATCATCTCCTCCACCATCTCCTTCTACGTGCCCCTGCTCGTCATGATCTTCGTCTACGTGCGAGTCTTCGCCGTGGCCACGCGGCACGTCCAGCTCATTGGCAAGGACAAGGTGAGGTTCCTGCAGGAGCCCCCCAGCCCCACGGGCAGGAGCAGCCGGCGCAGGCGGCCCTCCCGTCTGCTGGCCATCAAGGAGCACAAGGCGCTCAAAACCCTGGGCATCATCATGGGCGTCTTCACGCTCTGCTGGCTGCCTTTCTTTGTGGCCAACATCATCAAGGTCTTCTGCCGCTCGCTGGTGCCGGACCAGCTCTTTCTCTTCCTCAACTGGCTGGGCTACATCAACTCCGCCTTCAACCCCATCATCTACTGCCGCAGCCCCGACTTCAGGAGCGCCTTCCGCAAGCTGCTGTGCTGCCCGCGCCGCGCCGACCGCCGGCTCCACGCCGTCTCGCAGGACCTGCAGCGCTGCCCCTGTGCCTTCAGCCCTCGGGGGGGCCCTGCAGAGGACAGCAAGGCGGCCCCCGGGCGCCCCGGGGAGGACGGCGAGGCTCGGGGCAGCGGCAGCAGAACAGAGGAGACTCCTCTGCCCCAGGGCAGTGGCCACCGGCAGCGGCCCCTGGGCGAGTCCCGGCTGCAGGGCGCGCAGACCTCGCTGTGTTCCCAGCTGCATGAGTAGGTACCTGCAGGCATTTGCTCGGGAGGGGCTCGGGGGGTCTGGTCCAGCCCTTTGGGGTGGGACTAGGGGGGCTGTCGGGGCTGGGACTGTGCTCTGACAGTGCAGTGCAGACTTGGGGGAGCTGAGAGACCCTAGGGTACGTGGGAGAGACTCTGAGATGTGGGACTGGGCACCACTGCCCTGCCCCCTGATGTTCCCCTAAACTCTGGCCCTTTCACTGGGCTCCAAAAGTGGGGTCCCACCCAGTCCCACTCCAGCCCACCAGGACCTGGTCTGCAGTTCCTGGGTAAAGGAAACACGAAAGGTGTACAGGGAAGCAAACCAGCTGAGCAGGAATGTGTCCCAAAGCCTTGGCCTTTCCCCCTTCTCCTCCGGATCCCACTTTCTGCTGCTAAAGAAGGAGAACGCGGGGACCCCCTCCGGAGCGAGGCACCGCGGCTGCCGTCGCCGCTCAGGGCTCTGCAGGTTGCTTTGCCCTCCAGCGGTGTAAATCTGGGAAGGGAATTAATTTCATCCCGCTGCGTCCCATGACGGGAAATGCGCTCCCGGAGCCGGCAGCCCCTGTGCCAGGGGCGGTGGGGTCCATGCTGTGGCTGCCGGCAGCCTGACACGAATTTACACCTCCAATTGCAGGGTGGGGTTTTTTATTAGTATGACAAAATTGGAGTTATTCTGGTTACTGTGGATTGTAACCTGTTTCCCTCTTGATGTCTGAGGGCAGGAGAGGTTTCCTGCCAGACTACGCGGGCAGCAGGGATGTGCAGGTGGAGGTGCCGGAGGAGCTGCCTGGGCAGGATTCACGCTGGGGACGCGGGGCGGTGGATGTGGGAGGGTCTGGGCTCTCACCCCTGCGCTCCCCCATTTCAGCTTTGCTGGCGGAGAGACGCCCGCGGGTCCGTCCGACTGACTGGGAGCAGCGGAGAGCCGGGAGGAGAGCGCTTCCCCCGGCCGGGTCATCATCGCTCCGGCCTCTCCTCTGCCCGCCTTGGCCGCCGCCCTCCCCGGGGAGCGCAGCCCGTGGCCAGCACCAGGCTGCTGCCCGGGTTCGGGCATGTGAGTCCGGGTCAGCGCGGCCACAGCCGCTTTAACCCTCCTTGTGCTGCTGCCCGCTTGGCTCGCCGGAGCTGCGCCTTGTATACGGTGCTCCCGGGTCCCTTCCGTGCCTGCTGGGGTGGTGGCTGTGTCCCTGTGCCCAGCCGAGCCTGGTGGGTGACACTGTGTCACCTCCCGCCCTCTTCTTGCAGGGCCGGGGTTGCGGAGGCAGCGCCAGGGGTGACGGTGCTGGCAGGACCCTGCGGTGCGTGCACTGACCCGGAGAGGAGGATCTCCCCTGGGAACGCTGGTGGTCTTGGGACAGCACCAGCTCCTTCGTGCCGTCGGTGCTGGAGACATGGAGCTGGGGAAAAGCTCTGGAGCTGCTCACCAAGGGGCAGCACAGCCTCAGGGATGTGTGGACAGGGGACAGACTCCTATCTGGCACGGCTGGCAGTGGGATGTGGAGACTGCCAGCTCTGCTTTCTTGAAGGACAAAGGACCCTGTTGGCCCAGGCTTGGCCAGTTTCGGACAGTCTGCTGAGGAGAGAAGAGCCTCCTGCAGGCTCAAGCCCTTCCCAGGATTTCCATCCCTGCCCCAGCTGCTGCATTCCAGGGCTGAGTGCAATGGCAGGAGCTGCAGCGATGCCTTCAGCAAAGGAAAACTCAGGGGAGTGAGGGGAGCTCCGAGCACTGAGCACTTCCAAACCCAGGGAACTGGAATCGCGTCAGGACTCTTTGCAGTTTCTCCCTCTCGTCTGGGACAGATGTCCGTGTCGGTGCCCCTCGGGGACGGGAGGTGGATTCTCATCTCACACGAGTGCAGACGTGCCCTGCCCACGCTGCGCTGCCACGCAGCACCTTTGGGCACGAGCTGGTGTCAGTGCGTTCGGTGACTGCACAGGTTTTGTCCTGGTTTGCGTCCCCCCTGCCGTGTAAAATAAACCTCTGGATCTCTGCCGTGCCTCTGGATCTGTTCCGAGCAGAGGGTGCTGCTCCGCGTGCTGTTCCCGGGTGGCTGCCCGAGCTTCATCCCCCTCCTGGGGTTGTGGCTAGCGGGGAAAAGCCGCTCTGGCTCTGGCCGTGCCGTGGTGCTGCCCCTGAGCCCTGCCCATGCTGCCACAGCCCAGGAGGGCCGGCAGAGCTGCCAGAGCCACCAGAGCCGCCAGAGCCGCCAGAGCCGCCTCCCAGTGCCGGGGAAATCCGGCTCCTGCACGGGAACCGGGCCTGGGACGCTGCAGGGGCTCCCTGCAGGGATCCGCCCCGCTGGGGAGCCCAGCACGGGTCAGGCCCCTCGGCCCACAGCCCCTGCACAGGCACCGGCACCCACAGGCTGCACCCCGCGCCTGGACATGCACTGGACATGCACCTGTGCACCCACAGGCTGCACCCCGCGCCTGGACATGCACCTGTGCACCCCACAGGCTGCACCCTGCGCCTGGACATGCACCTGCACATGCACCTGTGTACCCCATAGGCTGCACCCTGCACCTGGACAGGCACCTGTGCACCCCACAGGCTGCACCCCCACACCTGGACATGCACCTGGACAGGCACCTGTGCACCCCACAGGCTGCACCCCCACACCTGCACATGCACCTGGACATGCACCTGTGCACCCCACAGGCTGCACCCCTGCACCTGGACATGCACTGGACATGCACTTGTGCACCCCACAGGCTGCACCTCCACACCTGCACATGCACCTGGACATGCACCTGTGCACCCCACAGGCTGCACCCCCACACCTGCACATGCACCGGACATGTACCTGTCTGCACTCACAGGCTGTACCCCCACACCTGGACATGCACCTGTGCACCCCACAGGCTGCACCCCTGCACCTGGACATGCACTGGACATGGACCTGCACATGCACCTGTCTGCACCCCACAGGCTGCACCCCTGCACCTGGACATGCACCTGGACATGCAACTGGACATGCACCTGTCTGCACTCACAGGCTGCACCCCGACACCTGGACATGCACCTGTGCACCCCACAGGCTGCACCCCTGCACGTGGACATGCACCTGGACATGCACCTGTGCACCCCACAGGCTGCACCCCTGCACGTGGACATGCACCTGGACATGCACCTGTCTACACTCACAGCCATCTGTGCACCCTGAAATGCCTGCACAGGGCCCTGCACCAAGCCATGCACACCTGAACTCACCTGTACTTGCACCTGTACCTACACCTGTACACACAGTGCATAGACACATGTACACATACACCTGTACTCACCTGTACACACCTATGCACACCTGTACACACCCGTGCACACTAACCTGTACTCACCTGTATACACACCCGTGCACACTAATCTGTACACACCTGTACACAGCCGTGCACACTCACCTGTACTCACCTCTACACACCTGTGCACACTAACCTGTACACACCTGTATACACTTATACACACCCGTGCACACCTGTACTCACCTGTACACACCTGTGCACACTCACCTGCACACACTTGCTCCCACTTGCACACACCTGTACTCACCTATACACACCTGTATACACCCGTGCACATCACCTGCACACACCCGTGCACACTCACGTGTACACACCTGCACACACGTGTACACACCTGCACACACCTGTACTCATGCACACACCTGTGCACACTTACCTGTACACACGTGTACACACCTGCACTCACCTGCACACACGCGTGCACACTCATGTGCACATACCCGTGCACACACACCTACACACACCTGCACACATGTGTACACACCTGCACTCACCTGCACACACCTGCTCACACCTGCACTCACCAACCTGTACACACCTGTACTCACCTGCACTCACCTGCATACACTAACCTGCACACACCTGCACACCCGTGCACACACCCGTGCACACACACCTGCGCTCACCTGCATTCACCTGCACACACACCCGTGCACACACACTTGCACACACATGTACACACTAACCTATAAACACATACACTCACCTGCACACACCTGCGCTCACCTGCACACACTAACCTGTACTCACCTGCACACACCTGCACACAATCACCTGCACACACCTGGACACACCTGCTCTCACCTGCACTCACATGTACACACTTGCACTCACCTGCACACCCGTGCCCACACCCGTGCACACACACCCGTGCACACACACCTGCACACACGTGTACACACTTGCACTCACCTGCACACACCTGTGGTCACCTGCACACACTCACTAACCTGCACACACATGTACACACCTGCACACACTAACCTGCGCACACTTACCTGCACTCACCTGCCCACACCTGTGCACACTCACCTGTGCTCACCTGCACTCACCTGCACACACTAACCTGCACACACGTGTACACACCTGCACACACCCATGCACACTTACCTGCACTCACCTGCCCACACCTGTGCACACTCACCTGTGCTCACCTGCACTCACCTGCACACACTAACCTGCACACACGTGTACACACCTGCACACACCCATGCACACTTACCTGCACTCACCTGCCCACACCTGTGCACACTCACCTGTGCTCACCTGCACTCACCTGCACACACTAACCTGCACACACGTGTACACACCTGCACACACTAACCTGCGCACACCTACCTGCTCACACCTGCGCTCACCTGCAGGCCCCGGGCCCGCCCCCGGGCCCGCCCGCCGCGCTCTCGCGAGAGGGGCGGGGCGGGGCGCCCCGGCCGCCGCCGCCGCCGCTGCCGGCCCGGCCCACTCGCGGCCGGTCGCCGGCGCCGCCGCTCGCTCGCTGCCATGGCGGGCCCGGCCCCGGGCTGGGCGCCCACCCACGTGCGGGTGACGGTGCTGCGGGCGCGGGGGCTGCGCGCCAAGGCGGCGGCGGGCGGCAGCGACGCGTACGCGGTGATGGCGCTGGGCCGCGACAAGTTCCGCACGTCGGTGGCCGAGCGGTGCCGGGGGGAGCCGCTGTGGCGGGAGGAGGCCACGTTCGAGCTGCCGGCGCGGCCCGCCGCGCTGCGCCTCACGGTGCTGCACCGCGCCCTGGCCGGCGCCGACAAGTTCCTGGGCCGCGCCGAGGTGGAGCTGGCCGCGCTGAGGGACGGCGGCGGCCCGCGGCACACCAGGTGCGAGCGGGCCCGGGGCAGCGGCGGCCGCCGTGCCCCACGGGAGCGGGGAGGGTGTGCTGTGCCCCACGGGAGCGGGGAGGGTGTCTGGGGTTCCTGTGCCCCACGGGAGCGGGGAGGGTGTCCTGTGTCCCACGGGAGCGGGGAGGGTGTGCTGTGTCCCACGGGAGCGGCGAGGGTGTGCTGTGTCCCACGGGAGCGGGGAGGGTGTCCGGGGTTCCTGTGCCCCACGGGAGCGGGGAGGGTGTCCTGTGTCCCACGGGAGCGGGGAGGGTGTCCGGGGTGTCCTGTGTCCCACGGGAGCGGGGAGGGGTGTCCTGTGCCCCACGGGAGTGGGGAGGGTGTCCTGTGTCCCACGGGAGCGGGGTGGGTGTCCCGGGGTGTCCTGTGTCCCACGGGAGCGGGGAGGGTGTCCTGTGTCCCACGGGAGCGGGGAGGGTGTGCTGTGCCCCACGGGAGCGGGGAGGGTGTGCTGTGCCCCACGGGAGCGGGGTGGGTGTCCCGGGGTGTCCTGTGTCCCACGGGAGCGGGGTGGGTGTCCGCGGTGTCCTGTGTCCCACAGGAGCAGGGTGGGTGTCCCGGGGTTCCTGTGTCCCACGGGAGCTGCAGGGAAGGATGGAGTGGCCCATACCGGGGGAGAGGTTTTTGGGGGGTGTCTCAGCCCCATGGCTCCCACGGAGAGGTTTGGAGGAGCCTGTGCACCCCTCGGAGGTGTGGGAGGGCTTCTGTGCCCCACGGGGGCTGGGGAGGACGCTGAGGGCTGCCTCTTGAAGGGGGTGAAGTTCTGTGAGGGGCTCCAGCTCCCCGTGGATGGCCCTGTTCCTCATGGGAACCTCTGTGCTCCTCAGGCATGGGGAGACCCCTGTGCCCCCGTGGCAGCCTGTGTGTCCCACGGTCTGGGGGTCACCCTGTGCCCCAGAGCAGTGGGGGAGTTCTGCTGGGGGACTCTTCTTCCCCACCTGGACCCCTGAAGCCCCAAAAATGCCCACGGGGTGACCCCTTGGAGCAGGTGAGCCCTAGGAGCCCCCAGAGCTGGGCAGTGCCTTCCCCTGGAAGAGGCTGGGGGCCAGGAGAACGCTGTTCCAGCCGGTCCTGCCTGGTCCTTGGCGTTGATTTTCAATCATTTCCGTGTGAGTGCTGACACTACCGAGGAAGCAGCCTGGCCCCCGAAACCTGCTGTCCTCGGGATGCTGCCTCCTTCCAGCAGGGACTGAGCGCTCCGACAGCCGATTATTTATTTTTGCTAGCAAACACTTGGAGCGTGCCAGGGTCTGGATAGTTCCACCTTCCAGGGGCTGACCCCACCGCTGTCAGCAGGGCTCCGAGCCGGGGCCGCTCCTGCCCAGCGCCAGGCCTGTGTCACACCCGCTGCTTTGAACACAAACACGGCCCGGTGAAACCCAGGGGTGGTGCCCGGGAGGGTTTTACTGGGAGTCAGCAGCCTTGTAATGTGCTGTGAGTCACCTTCCTCCCCTGCCTCACCTGAGCAGCGCCGCGGAGCCTGTCCCGCTTGCCAAGGCTTAATTAGGCCGCGGGTTCATTAAGGCTGTGTCAGACTCTGCTGTGTTTACACTGCAGAGCCCCTTGGTCAGCAGAGCTCAGGGCTGGTGCCTCGGGCTCCCAAGCGCGTTCCTTTGTGTCTGGGCAAAGGAAAATTGAGGGGGAGAAAAGAGGAAAACACAACTTTGGTACTCCTGGGGAAATTTCTCATGTTTTCAGTTGTTTCCAACCCTCGGTTTCCTGTTGGAAACCTGTTTTGTTCTTGCTGCCATGGTGATGTGTAGCCATAAAGGGCTAGTTTTATTTGGAAAATAGATGTATGTTGATTGACAGGTGCTTGCTAACACCATAAATGCCACTAATGAGATTTTTTTGTGGTCTGGGGGGTTGTCAGTCCATGATTTCCTTCCAGCCACTGCCAGGGGTGCTGCTTTCAGCCGGGGCTGAGCTGCTTTGCTGAACACGGTGTTTGCCCGTGGCTCCCGGGACACACAGGATCAATTGTGGCACCGAAGCCCTGCGAGTGCAGGATGCTCCTAGAAACCACTTTGGAACAAAAGTGTGCAGTGCTGGCTCATGTTAAAGGCAAAGGGGTTGTGATTCCAGGGCTGCTGCAGCTCCAGGGACTGGGCAAAGCCTTGATTTCCTGATTTAAAGCCCTTCCCTGGGTGTCTTCTAACCCCAGGCCCCTGACTGTCACTTAAGTGTTCATTTAGAGTCACAGAATCCGAGAATGGACCTTAAAGCCCATCTTGTTCCACCCCCTGCCCTGGGCAGGGACAGCTTCCACTAGACCTTTGCTCCAAACCTGGCCTTGGACACTTTGAGGGACAGGACAGACACAGCTTCTCCAGGATCAGGGCCTCACCACCCTCAGAGGGAAGAATTTCTTCTACTTTTCCTTTTGAAGTGTCTGTAGCAGATTCCTGAATCCATCTCCTTTGGTTATCCCCATTAATTTTGAATTTTCTCTGGAGCAAATCACCTTTTCCTGTTCTCTTTTGTTGTTTCCAGTATACCTTTGGAGGTTGTAGTGCAAATTCGATGGCAGGGCACATTTGCATGCTCTGTTTGCTGCCTTTATTTTCCCGTTCCAGCTTTGTGGGGAGGAAGAAACAAAGCAGTTTCCAGGCAGCCTTTCCTATGGGTTCTGTGGGGTTGGGAATGCTGCGGTTCCACCAACACACAAACCATCCTGGTGTGCAGTGCTGACCGTTCTCTGTGCTGGCTCAGATGTGGTTTGAGTGTCACCCAGGGGTGGTTGAGGGTGTGAGGGTGGTGGGATTGTGGTTTGGGAGGCGCTGGGCAGTGCCCACGCAGAGCTCGATGTTGGGGAGGGAGAGGGCTCTGGCTGAGCAATGTCCTTCCTGGTGCGTGCCAGTCACGAGCCTGGGGAGGTGAGTGGAAATCCCCAAGGTCTGGGAGGCTGGGGTTGGCTCTCTGGTGTTGATTAGGGGTTCCTTGGCTTAAGAGGCATTAAGGAGCTGGAATGAAAGGTATGAGGGCGTGGGATGTGTGTGCAGCTCTGAGGCTGCTGCTCTCGCTCCACTTCAAAGCCGTGGCCCCTGCCAGTGTCAGAAGGCGAGATGAAAGGGCAGAGGAGAGTGGCTGAGCTGAAATACAGGAATTCCATCTTGTGCCTCTGTTTTTTCTTCTTTTTTTTTAACCCTTCCTGATCTGGTTTTAAACCAAATCTTACTAATAACTTTCTGTTTACGATAAGGAATGTTTTCTTTGGCACCTGGGGCTGTGACCATGACATCACCATAAGATAAAAGGTTTTCTTTTCCTACACTGTGGGCTGATTTTTCAGCCATAAGCGCCCTCTGTGTTCTTAGTTACTGGTGGTTAAAGAAATCCTCTTGTTGCTGCAGGTGGTACAAGCTTCGCTCCAAGCCAGGGAAGAAGGAAAAAGAGAGAGGGGAGATCGAGGTGGATATCCAGTTCATGAGGAGCAGCATGACAGCCAGCATGTTTGACCTGTCCATGAAGGACAAGCCCCGCTCTCCCTTCGGGAAGCTCAAAGACAAGCTCAAGGGCAAGAGGAGCAGTGGCCTCTCGGACACGGCGTCGGAGATCGTCCCCAGCACCTCGCACTCCCCTGCTGACAGCGAGGATGAGGCTGTGGAGAAGGAGAAGAAGAAATCCAAGTTCAAAGCGCTGTTCTCCAAGCCTGGCCTGCAGAAGACGTCCCTGTCCCAGTCCATGTCAGTGCTGCCCACTCAGCAGCCCCTCACCCAGAGGGTTCGGCTGCGGCCCAGCGACTTCCAGGCGCAGTGGGATGAGGAGGAGCCCGAGACCTCTCCTGCCTCAGAACGTGAGTGTTGGCACAAAACCTTCCCCCAGAGGGTTCTTTACACTTTTCAGAGCACTGGTTAAATTCTCCTTTCTGAGCAAATCCATTGGAAGTCCCTGCTGGCACTGAGGCTGTCAGTAGTGTCAGAGAAAAGATTGTTCTCGCATCTTGAATTTTTCCATTTTTTTTCCAGGATCCTTTGAAAGTGTGCCGGAACAGAAGCCAGCTCCTTCTCCTCTGTTTAAATCTCGTAAACCAGCCTTTTTGGACAGTAGGCAGCTAACCCAAGGAACCACTAACCACACCAAAAAGGATGGCCTCTCTTTGTTCAGTGGCCTTAAATCCAAAAGTGATCCCATGTCCAAGTCTAGTCTGTGCATCAATGGCAGTCATATCTATATGGAAGAGACCATGACGAAGGACAAGACTCCAACCTCTTCCCCCTCTCCTCACAACCTCAGGAGGAAGCAGCTCTTTGCTTCAGAGGAGAACCTGTCCTCCAGGTCCATTAAATCACCTGAAGAGATAGGGAGAACCTCTCCTGGGCAGGCTTTCTCTGGGTCCACATCCTTGGAGACCTTCAAGTCCATGACTTTGCCATCATACAAACTGCTGAGCAGTGAGGAGCACCTGGACACCAGCGTTCCACCAAGCATCGAGGCTGTTAGAGAGACCAAAAAACCAGAGCACAAAAAGTCTGCCTTGCTCTCCCTGGTCACTGGGAAGAAGGAAACGGTGAAGCCCAGCGATGCTGAGATTATTCCCGACAGGACCCTGCAGAGTGAGGGTACAATTCCAGAAGAGAAGAGTGAAGAGGAGGCCAAATGCCCTGAAGCCCCAGCAGCTCTGGGCAGAAGGAGCCCGTCAGGAGACGCTCAGCACGTGGAGGAGGCCGTCACAACCAAGCAGCAGCTCGGCCCTTGTGAGGAGGAGTGGAAACCCGAGAAAGCTGCACCAGCCAAGACCAAAGCTGTGAAACCCAGGTGGGTCGCAGCTGCTGGCAGGAGTCGGGCTGGGCAGTGCTGGTGGCAGGGGGCAGCGGGCTGTGCCTGCCACACCTGGGCTCAGGTGCTGCTCTGCGGGTACCTGCGGGTTTTATGCTGGCGTTGGGTGCTCTGATAGCAAAGGGCAACTCCCAGGTTCTTCCTCAGAGTGAAAAGAAGATGGATGTAGGGGTGCTCCTTGTAAGTGATGCTGAAATAATGGTTCTCAAGCGCAGGAGGCACCTGGCAGGTGCTGAAGGGGTGAATTTTCTTGCTGGATCTCTTGCACAAACTAACTCTGTCTGAGCTGTGTGGCTGCAGCCTCCCCAGGGTCTGAAATGCCCGTTCTAACGTCTCTGCTTTCCTCTTCCCTACTTGGCTGTGGTTTTCCAAAGGGTAGCCTTGGAGCCCTCCTGCTTCTGGCATCGTTCACAGCAACACAGAGGGATTTTGTGCGGATTTGTACAGAAGGCTTTTTCGGAAATTCTGTTCTTTTATCCTTCATACAAATATATAAATTGTGTATGAGGTTTATTATATATATGTAGGTGTGCCCTACTAATACGGCTGTGTTTTGTGTGTGTCCCTAACTCTAACTCCTCCTTTTCAGTGCTTCTCAAGTTTAAGTTTCTTTCCTGTGTGTTTTACATACTAATAAACCTGCTTGGGGTGCAAAGAGACAGTGCTTAAAGCAGCAAAACCAAGCTCTGCAGCAGGAGAGTTGTGACATAAGCCCTGTGCTTGGTGAAGGTGCAGTTAAGGATGTAAAGTCTCACAGACAAGGGACCTCTCTCTGAGGTCTCTTTAAGGTGTAGCTCATCTCCAGTGGCAGCTTGTCTGTTCCTGCCTCATGTTGCATCTGCAAGTGACATGCGAGTTTTTTGTCCCTTTTTGCAGACTGGGCCTGTCTCCAGAGGAGGAACCCAAAGCCACGCTTCCTACTCTTGCACCTGACCCCCTCCCTGCTTTTCTCTCTGTGCACCGTATCAGCAGTGCCAATAATCCTTTTATTTCTGAAGTGGGGCAGACAGTCCAAGTGCCAGACTCTGAAAACATCACTGGTTCTCCTGCTTCTCTCACTTCTCCTGCTTTAGCTGCAGAGCTCTGGAAAGACAAGAACCCTTTTACTCCTGAGTGGGACAGGGCATCCAGAGCCCTGGATCCCAGCAGCATCACCCACTTCCCTTCATCCCATCATCCTGCAGCCTCTGTTCCCAAAGTGCCTCTTCCTGGGCAGGTCTCTGCCAGGGGAAATAATCCTTTTGCTGCTGACTGGGGGCAGGGTTCTGAGGGCTCTGAGGCTTCCTGGGGTCTCTCTGGCCCACACACACCTTCTGTCCCCTCTGACTGTCCTCTCAATGACAACAATCCCTTTGTGTCCAAGCGTGGGGGACAGGCAGCACCAGCTTCCCAGGCTGGCTCTTCCCCTTCCTGCCTTCCTGGTGGGGAGGACTGTTCTTCTGCAGGACACTCTGCTCATGGTGCTTCAGGGGGCTCTGCAGATGTGGCTTTAACCAGTGATGCCACAGCTGTGCCAGGCCCTCTGGGCACCTTATCTCACCCCCCTTCAGGCCCCCCTGGGCTGGCTCCAGAACCACACCGGGATTCTGTTTGGCTTCAGCCTGAGGATTCTTCAGAAAGCAGCAAACCAGGCCGTGGGAAATCTGTGTCCTTTGTCCGTGGGGAATGGCAGGGTGTTCCATCAGGTGATGTGGGTTTGGGTGGGCAGGAAGGTGGAGAGCAGCCCCTGGATTCCAGTGGGAGGTTACAGGTGGGTTCAGGGGCAGCAGGAGAGCGAACAGAGTTTGTGCGTGAGCTAGGAGCAGGGGGTGACCCATGGACAGAACTCTCTGGGGACAGCACTCATCCCACCTGGAACAGTGATGGAACAGCTGTGGAGGTCACTGGTGTGAGCACGGAGCCCTGCACGAGGGGTGACAAAGGCTTTGTGTCTTACTCTAAGTACAGTGACAGCCTCGTGCCAGAGGCTGACCAGGCACCATCCCCCAGGAGCGAGCTCAGGAAGGAGCAGGAGACCTGTGGTGGAAAGCAATGGGCAGAATCTGTGCCCGTGTTAGAGCCCCAGGCACCTCCACCTGCTGGAAAGGAGGCACTTTCTCAAGTCCAGCCAATGCCAAGAGCCTGCACAGTGTCCCCTGGGGAAGGGGAGCCAGGGAGGGCTGGCAGTGAGGTCCTTGTGCCTCCAAAGCCAGCCCCACGACTGGCTGTACTGCTGAGGAAGTCCCCAGCCACTCCCCAGGCTGAGCTAAGGGCTGATGTTCCTGCATCAGGGGATGCTGCAAAATCCACCCCAGGGCTCCCGTTCCCTGAAGCCTCAGCTGCTCGTGGGTGCCTCCCTCAAGGGGGCTCCTTGGGGACTGTCACCCCTGCAGTGGCACCCAGAGGTAAGAGCAGTGGCAGGCCTTTAGAACAGGAAGATGGTGATTTATCTGTCACTCTCACAAACGTCAGGTCTGCCATTCCTGTTCCCGGGGACCGGGGCTCGGCACCGGCCGGTCTCCCGGTGATCCCGGAGGGAGGCTCTGATGACGAGCTGCTGGGGGACTGCCAGGACACCTGTGGGGCCACTGCAGGTGACAGAGGTGTTCTAGGGAATGGAGAGCAGCCCCGAGCTTTGACACCTTTGCATGGAGAGCAGAGAGAGCTCTCTGATAGCTCTGCTGCTGCTCTGGGAGGAGGAGCAGGAGCCATTCCTGGTGCCTGTGAGCCAGGGAGTTTGGCTGTGCTGCCTGCTGCAGTGGGTGCTCCCAGGGTCTGTGTCCAGGGAGCTGACTCAGGCTTAGGTGTGACATCTCATTCCAGGGAGTGTGACAGTCATTCTGGGAGACAAGAGCTGGAAAGGAGTGCAGGTGCTGATGAGCGTGCAGAGTGTGACTTCTCTGAGCCTTCTGCTTTCTCTTCCTCCCTGTCAAGTCCTTGCCAGCCCCGCTCTTTCTCTCATTCCCTTCTCTCTGACACCCCGAGTCGTAGAGCAGAGTCTCCGAAAAAGCCAACAGCCGAGGGCTTCGCAGATAAAGCGGGAAATTCGGGCAAGAAGAAGCTTCTCCAGGCACGGGTTTCACCCTCTGAAACGTTCCCTAACCAATCCCCACGGGGTGCTGAAACCGTGTCTCCCCAGCACAGGTGAGGCGTGTGGGGATCACAGCAGGTACCTCCGTGCAGGTGGGAGCTTTGCTGTGCTCTCTGGGTGCAGATCTGTCCCTGAGGCTGCTGGATCAGACCAGGACAGCCCTGACTTCCCCTGGGGCTGTGTCTGTCAGGGCTGGCTGCTGTCACCCAGTGCGGGGTTGCTGCTGGCTCCAGGAGGGTCTGTGCAGCTCCTCGGGGTGCCCAGGGGAGCAGCTGCTCCTCACAGCTCTTGGGGGAGCTTAGGGAAATGGAGTCACTCCATCCCACTGGCCAGAGGGCCTGAGCTGTTTGTCAGAGAGGGGGAAAGGACACCTGATAAACGTTTCCTGGCTGAGCAGGCTCCTCAGGGATCACCAGCCCTGCTGCAGCTCAGGCTGCTCCTGCTGCTGCAGCTCCTGCTCTGTGGGAGTGGTGCCACTGCCCTGTCAGCCCTCGAGCCTTCACCTGCAGTGCTCTGCCTGGGGTCTAGGACACCTCTGGGACAGCATTTGCTGGAATAGAAGGAAAATTTTGTTCCTGTGTTAAAATTGGTGCTGTAAGTCTGTGCAGGCAAATAATGACAGCACTTCCTCACAGCTGGTGATGTCAGTTCAGATTGGACATGGCATAGCACTTGTCTCAGGACAGCAGAAGTATTTGGTATGTTGTAAGATCACAACTATGTTCTGATTAGGAAAGTCAGGCTGAAATACCAGTTTCTGAGGGATGAGAGTAGCTGCCCCGTGTTCTGTCTCCTCGTGTAGCCTGACCTGGCTTTTCTTCCATGACACACAGAGGATGTATTTTCCTTCCTGCTGCTGCTTTATCTCCAATGCCTTAAGTCAATAAAGATAGTAGAGAACTGGAAAATACTTACAAAACCCCTGTGGCTTAGAAATACCTTGTCTTCTTTAAACTGAATTTCTTTTCTGTCAGGACATAGAGCAGGGAGGGAATTGTCCCCAATTTCTTGCTGTATTTGTTCTCAATCTAAAGATCTATGTCATGCTGCTGTTACCTCTTCTGCCTGAACAGCAGGACCCTTTTTTTCCTGTTGCAGACTCCATCCTGTGAAGCCAATGAATGCCATGGCTAACAAGCCTCAGAGCAAGAACTTGAATGTCATCAGCACCATGAATGAAAAGCTGCTGGAAATGAGTGTGAAGGTATGGAGGGAAGTGGCACTTTGACTGCCCAAGCTTTGATTTAATTGAAGAGTTTGTGTATTCCAGATAGCTGGGCCAGGAACATCCTTTTGGTCAGCCCTCAAGAGTGGGATCGTTCCTTAAATGCTTATTTTCTTGCAGACTGACCTATAAGAGAGCCGGGCTCGTGTTTTTGGGGGCGCTTCTCAGGCACAGCCACTTCCTTGGAGCACAGTCGTGCAGCTGGGTCAGCATTGGGACTGAGAGGAGCTCTCAGCATAATCCTGGTCTCAAGAGAGACCTCCAGGCTTGAGGCACAGCTTCCCTGATCCGAAAGGCTGGGAGCATCCCCGGGTCAGCAGGGAAAATCACGGCTCCCCTTATGGTCTGTCAGGGTTTTTTTGGGAAATAGGGAAGTTAGAACTGAAATAACAGCAGTGCCTCCTTCTGGTGAGAGGGGAGGGGATGGGAGTTCAGTGATTCAAACTGCCACGCTGCTGTTTCAAGGGGGTTGAAAACTTGCAGTGGGTGTTGTGGTGTTCTGATTCCACCTAAATTGTGTGCGATGCCCCACGGGGGCCTGTTGTGCTCACTCTCCCTGCCTGGGCAGTGTTCTGGGAGCTGGAGGAATCAGCAGAAGCTGCCCAGTACCTCTCATGCTGTGTGAGGTTTAAAACCAGATTTTCCAAAGGAATGGGAAGAAACAGCAAAGGCCTGGGTGGGCATTTTGTGCTGTTTACCATGAATTTGGCTTTCCCAGAGTGCACTGAAGCAGCTGTTTTAAGCTTTACCAGGTTTGTTTGGCAGCAGCTGTCACCGTGCTGGTCTGTGTGTTGTGTGTCTGGTTTGGAATGTCCTGTGCCTGCTCTGACCCTGCCTTCCCTCCCTCCCTCCCAAGAAATACGATCCCTCAGACCCTGCCTATGCCTATGCTCAGCTGACACACGATGAGCTGATCCAGCTGGTGCTGAAACAGAAGGATACCATTACCAGGAAGGACCTCCAGGTGCGGGAGCTCGAGGACTACATCGACAACCTGCTTGTCAGAGTCATGGAAGAAACCCCAAACATCCTCCGTGTTTCCATGTCTGGCAACAGAAAAGCTGGGAAGATGTGAAGGGTCTGGGGGCGTCGGTGGGCAAGGACTGAATTCCCCCAGAGGAGGGTGAGGAGCTGGTGGTGCTGGGTGTGCTGCTCACAGAAAATGACCTTTTCCTGTTTCTGCCTTGAGCAACCCTTGATTGATTAATAGTTCCATCAGGTGTTGTCATGCAGTCACCTTACCATATTTATTTTTTTTTTCCTTCCCATTATTTGGGGAGGTCAGGCATTAATCCAAAGACTGGTTGTGATGGGAAGGAGGAGGGTTTTTGTTGTGTTTTGCTTCCCAGCAAGGCGCTGATGATCCTTTAGGATGATTTTTTTAAATGGTTTTGTTTTGTAGCAGCTTTTAGAGATCAGTTACTTTTTTTTCCACATCTGAAGTTGTAGTGCAATATGAATCCTTGTACAGTAGAGCTTGAGGATTTGATTGTTTTTAAAATAATAATTAACTACACTGGATAAGTCCAAAGATGGCCCAGCTTCGGACCTGGGCTGTAATTTGAAAGGAATGAAAGTTGACCATAAGCTGACCAAATCTCAGTTCATCTCATCGAGTGGACATTCCCAAGAGTCCTTCAAGGGAAAGTTGACAGGTTTTTTGGAGTAGGAGACATTGAGGTCCACGGTACGTTTCTACCACAGGAATGGCACCAATGGATTTAGGCCTGAGGTACATTTTAAATCAGAAGTTTTGCTCTTAGTGTCTTAAATTTCTGCTCTGGAGGCTGTTCAGAGCGGGCAGAGACTGCCCTGTGCTCTGCTCTCCCACTTTGTGCCCCGTGGGAGCTCTGTGACCATTTCCCTTTCACACTGCACGGAGGGAACAGAAATTCCTTGGGGTTTGGAGCTGGGGCTCACCTTGAGGGCCCTCCCAAGGTGAGGAGCCTTGCAGTGCTCCTGCTGTCAGTGCAGGCAGGGCTGGGGCTCCCCCCTGCTCTGGCTCCTTGCTGCTCCCTGGGGAGGAGAGTCTTGAGTGGCTGAGGGGGCTGGGGGTGCTGCACAGCCCAGAGCTCTGGGGGTCCTGGTGGGCTCAGGGGAGTTCTCCCCATCCCCTCAGTCAGGCTGGGGGTGCTGCACAGCCCAGAGCTCTGGGGGTCCTGGTGGGCTCAGGGGAGTTCTCCCCATCCCCTCAGTCAGGCTGGGGGAGCAGCCAGCACAGCTTCCCCTGCTGCAGACTGAACAGAGCTTTGTTTGCTGAGCTCTTGGCAGAGACCAAAACAGCAGATGCCTTTTGGGACCCCTGGGATTTGCCAGGGCAGGAAGAGTCCATGAAAGGCTTAGAGGGAAACTGGAAAACCAACAGAGCCCTGCAAAGGACCAAAGCTTCATGAGGAGCAAAGCTTCAAGCTTTCCAGCCCGAATTCTATGGAAATAAACACTCCTGCCTTTGGAAGTTGTTGGGTTATTGGGTCACTCCTGGCTCAGGGGTGAGTTTCTAACTCCATTTCTCTACAGGAAAGCACTTTATTGAGGGACTGGAGCAGCTGGAAGGACTCTCACCCTGTGAGCAGTCTGCTTACAATGTCACACACCACTGCAGATCTCAAATGCTGTATTATGTAGTGAGGAGCAGTTTGATAGATTTGCACAGAGATGTAAACATTTATTAGAAAAATCAAAGAAATTCTGTAATGGCATTTTTATCCTGGTTATCCCTGCTACCAAAGTCTGGAGCTTTACTGGCAGAGCTGTCCCTCATGGGCAGCCTGACCTCAAACAAGCCTTAGGAGCTGAGTCTTGCAAGACTTCAGGTACTTTTGTCTCATTTTAGTGTTATTTGAACAGTGAGGGCGTTCTCTGCTTTCTGCTGTGCCCTCTGCTCTGAGTGAAGGCAGCCTTGGTGGTGGTTTCATTCTGAGTGCTGTGCCTGGCCTTGCTGGAGCTGCTGCTGCCTCCTGTGCCTTCTCGAGCGAGGAAGATGAAGGATTGATTTGTTTCCTCCTCGTGCCTCTGTGGATCTCTGGACAGAGGATCCTGTACCTCACTGATAAACTTGTATTTTAGATTTTTTCTCCGCTGGGAAGAGTGACCTGCACAGAACCAAAGCAATAAATAATATTATTGTTCATAAAAGAAATAATGTTATGCTCTTAGCAGAGACGAAGCCTTAATGCTTGGGACAGCGGCAGCCCCAGCCATGGGTGTCATGGCAGCCCCAGCCGTGGGTGTCACTCCCATGGGTGCCGTGGCAGCCCCAGCCGTGGGTGCCAGCTCCCGTGGGTGCCGTGGCAGCCCCAGCCATGGGTGTCACTCCCATGGGTGCCGTGGCAGCCCCAGCCGTGGGTGCCAGCTCCCGTGGGTGCCGTGGCAGCCCCAGCCATGGGTGCCAGCTCCCCAGGGCTCCTCTGTCCCAGGGGCTGCAGCTGTGGCACCTCTCCCTGAGCAGACCCATGGCTGGGGCACGGGGGGCTCACAGTTCTCCACTTGCCCAGCCCCAAAAACGTCGCCCAGCCCTCCAGCCTCGTTTATATTGTCAACACTCGTTAAAGCCTTTGGTGTGAGGGGACTGGCATTTTACATCCTCAAGGGCCTTAAGAACCAAATGTATTGTTTATTATTGAAGGATCCAATGCATGTTCCCTGTTTGTACTCCCTGCTTTTAGCCCAGCTGCTGTTTTTAGACACCTTTTGGTTTTACGGAACACTACAATAAAGACACCTCAAACGCAGTGCTCTGGCCACCGTGTCTTTGCTCTGGAGTTTAGAAGGGTTTTATCCCCTCCTCGTGCCTCTGCTCATCCTGCTCCCGGCGTTCCGGCCTGCTGTCATCCCTGCGCCATCCGGTGCTGCCTGCAAACCCCTCGCGGGGTGGGGGAGCCTGACGGACGGGCGGGTCCGCAGCTGCAGCGCCGGGAGTTTCTGCCCTCACGGCAGCGCCGGCCTCGCGCTGCGCCGCGGACGGGAGGGGGCCCTGGGGGCCCTGGGGCTCCGCGCCGCGGTGCTTCCCGTTCCCCGCCGGGAGGACGCGGCCTCCCCGGTGCCATGGGAGCCCTGGGGCTCCGCGCCGCGCTGCTTCCCGTTCCCCGCCGGGAGGACGCGGCCCCCCCGGTGCCATGGGGGCCCTGGGGCTCCGCGCCGCGCTGCTTCCCGTTCCCCGCCGGGAGGACGCGGCCCCCCCGCTGCCGCTCCCCGCGCTGCCCGGGGCCGCCGTCCCGGCCGGAACGCAGCGCGCGCCGGCGGCGCCTCGGCCGGGCGGGCGCCGGGACGGACCGCGGGCGGCGCCGCTATTGGTGGGCTCGGGGCGGGCCGCGCCGCTATTGGTGGGCTCGGGGCGGGCCGCGCCGCTATTGGCTGTTGGCGGTGCGCCCGCCCCAGCGCTCCCCCAGCGCGGCGGCGGCGATGGCGGCGCGGGGCCGGTGCCCCGAGTGCGGGTCGGCGTCGCTGGTGGAGGACGCGCACTACGCGCAGCAGCAGCTGGTCTGCGCCTCCTGCGGCTGCGTCCTGTCCGAGGGGCTCCTCACCACCACCTACACCGACGAGGAGCATCTGCGGGGTGCGGCACCGGACCCGGGAGCGTCCGCGCTCGGGGTGGGGGTGCAGGACCGACGGTCCGCGGCTCGTTTGGGCCTTTCCGAGCCGGTGCGAGAAGCGAAGCGCTCCCCGAGCTGTGTTCGGAGGGGCCGTGCCGGGCACTCGCGGCTCAGGCCGGCCGCTCCCGCTCCCTCCATCCCCCAGCACCAGCGGGGTTTTCCAGCCCGGGGCACACCCGCAGCACTTCCCGGACAGGGTCTGGCTTGGAGCCGGTGATGAGCTTTGAATTTAAACTGGAGGATCTCTTATTGTCAAAAGAGATTATTAGAATCCCATTGAAATCTCTTAGAAGAGCTTTAAAGGCAGCGGGGCAGCCCCGAGGCCGTTGCCTGGCTCTGTCTGGAGGGAATTCCCAGCTCAGAGGAGATCCAAGAGCTCGCTTTTACCTGTGCTGCTCTAACTCAGCGCCCTCAGACAGTTCTGGTCGTTGCAGTCCGGTTCTGTGGGCATCTGCTGGCCCCAGATCCATGTCTCTGTGCCTGGATTCCCCTCAGGACTGACTGATCCACCCCTGTTTTCCAGAGGTCGCCTATTCCCAGAGCACTGGCCAGAAGGAGCAGCTGAGCCGCTGCCTGCAGCGAGGTGAGAGCAGCTCCTGACCCCCCCTCCTCTCTGCCTGCCGCTCCAGTTGTTTCACCTGGTTCTAGTGGTGAAAAAGTGCCCCAAACCCCTGGAGCTGAGCCGGGGGAGGGCACTTGGTGCTGCCTGCCCTGAGGGCCTGGGAGGGGCTTTAGTTCGGGCTGGGTGAGTGTTGTCTGCTGGACTTCCTCACTCCGAGTGTGACCCCGCAGGGATCCGGAGGGTCCAGGACCTCTGCAAGGTGCTGCAGCTGCCGGCTGTATTCGAGGAAATGGCCGTGTCCTACTTCCAGAGGGCTCTGCAGCTCCCCGCCTTCCACCTGGTCAGCCTGGAGAAGAAGGAGCTGCTGGGAGGCTGCTGCGTGTTCGTGGCGTGCCGCCAGCACCGCTGGCCCCTGACCATGGGCACCGTGTGCTCCCTGCTCTACGCCCGGCAGGAGCTGTTTGCCAGCGTCTTCCTGAGCCTGCAGCGGGAGCTGGGGCTCTCGGTGCCCGCCCTGAGCCTGGCAGACCTGGTGACAACGCACCTGAACAGGTGAGAGGGGCTTTGGGGCCCTTGTTTAGCCTGGCTGGATGGAGGGGCTGGGGTGTGGCCGTGGGCAGGGCTGAGCTGTGGCACAGGTGTGTGCTCAGGCTGGGCTGGCTTTTGTCCCTCCATGTCACACCTGGGCTGTGATTCTCAGTGTGGAGAGGGCAGAGGGGGCTCGGGGGCACCATGGATCATGGGATCCAGGATCTCTGGGGCTGGAAAGAATCTCTGAAGCTGTTGAGTCCAGCCCGTGCCCGGTGCCCACCTTGTCACCCAGCCCAGAGCACGGAGTGCCACCTCCAGGGATGGGGACTCCACCCCTTCCCCCAGAGAACCCTTCCCATAAAAAACTGCTCCTGGTGTCCAGGAGTGGCAGCCAGGGCAGGAGCAGGGTGTGTTTGTCCCCGAGGCTCCCCCTTATCGCTGGCTGGGGGCTGTGCACAAATCACCAACGGGACGGGACTGCTGTGGAACACATCTCGAGCTGTTTATTTCCCAGCATCAATCTCATTACATGATTATGGCAATGGGAAGGTGCCAGCAGCTCACATCCTAGGCAGCAGACTAAGAACTTAATATTACAATTTGCTTTAAAAGCTTTTTGACCAATCACACAAAACAAAAACATAATGACAGTAGTTTTACCTAACCACCATAAACACACGTACCTTTGGTTAAAATAATGCTTCCTGGTTTCAAATACAATACTTACTTATAAGCCTTAAGATACAATGCACAGAGCTCCATTATTAAGCTTAAAACTTCTTAATATCTCACCAGAGATACTTTTCTACAACTTAGAGTTATTCTACCCAAGTGTTAATACACAGACCATTGCTCTATTTATCCTTTCTTTCTACTTCTTGTATAATTGTTCTGCTGACAAATCTTATAGCTACTGCTTAGCTCTAATCACCATCCTGCTGTCTCTAAAGCCTGCCTTTTACAACACTCCCAAACCCCTCTGATTTAAAAAATCCCACACCCCTGAGCACAGCCCCTTCGCCCCCGCAGCTTCCGGCTGGTGCAGCCCACGGCCAGCGTCCCCGCGCCCTTCCTGGAGGACAAGGAGCAGCTGCTGGCCCGCACCTTGGCCATCGTGGAGCTGGCCAGCGAGACGTGGCTGGTGACCGGCCGGCACCCCGTGCCCCTGGTGACGGCCGCGGCCTTCCTGGCCTGGCAGTCGCTGCGGCCCGGCCCGCGCCTGCGCTGCCCCTTGGCGCGGTTCTGCCGCCTGGCAGGGGTGGACCTGCCCCCCCCGGCCCACCTCCGGCTGGCCGAGCTGCTGGACATCCTGCTGGGAATGGCCTCCCAGCTCTCCTGGCTGCGTGCCTTCTGCTTGGACAAGAGAACGGTGGTGAAGCACATCGGGGACCTGCTGCAGCACCGGCTCTTCCTGCTGAAACGCGCCTTCAGCCAGCAGGACGGGCAGGGCCAGCAGGACACGGCCCCGGGCCAGGGCTCTGGGAGCCAGGGCTCCCTGGATAAAGACTCTCTGAGCCAGGACTCCCCAGGCCAGGGCTGCCCAGGCCAAGACTCTGGGAGCCAGAGGTGCTCGGGCAAGGACTCTGTGAGCCCAGGCTCCCCAGATAAGGACTCCCTGAATAAGGACTCCCCAGGGCAGGACTCTGTGAGCCAGGACTCCCTGGATAAGGACTCTGTGAGCCAGGGCTGCCCAGGGCAGGACTCTGTGAGCCAGGGCTCCCTGGATAAGGACTCTGTGAATAAGGACTCCCCAGGCCAGGGCTGCCCAGGGCAGGGCCCCCCCAGCTCTCCTGCGGTGGCACAGCAGCAGGGCTGTTCCTCAGCAGGGAAGCAGCAGCGTGGGGGCAGCCTGAGGCCCCTGCTCCCTCCCTGCCTCCTGCGGCCCAGGAAGAGGCCGCGGCCGGCAGCTGCGAGCGCTCCGGCCGTGGCCCTCACGGGCGACGAGCCCATCTCGGACAGCGAGATCGAGCAGTACCTGCGGAGCCCCGAGGAGATCCGTGCCTTCAGGAAGGCCAAGGCCTGGCCCTGAAGGTGGCCCTGGCCCGGAGGGACGGTTTTGGGACCAGAAGTGTGAAGGCCACCAGGGACGGGGTGGTTGTGCTGCAGGGACAGTCACTCTGGGAATGAGGCTGGGCTGGGTCCTCCTTAATGTGCTGGACCAAAATGGGCTTTTTGTGGAGTGACTTCTTCAGGTCATGTTATGTTTCTGTTATAAGTAAATAAAAGTGCAGGTGCCAAGTTTTCCATGGCAGCCTCACCTTGGACTTCTCATTCTTCATCAGAATGAATTTGTGAGGGTCAAAACACTGCAGGCCACTTCTTTGTAAGGGTCAAAATAATGCAGGCCAGCCTGTACTTGAACGTGAAGTCTGAGATAAATCACAGTAAATCTTGGCAGATTGGTATATCTTTAATATATTAAACAAAACATATCTGCTAGAAACATTCTATTCATATAAAAATGCAAAAAGACCCCTTAAAAGGCATTTCTTTGGCATTATTTCCCTCCCCCTGGATATTGCAGGAAGCTCTGTTGATATGTCACTCGCTTGTAAACAGACAAAGTGTAATTAAGAATACAAAGCTTTTTCTCTAATACTGTCACAATGCAGCAAGCAATAGAACCACGGGGCATCAGCTGGGCTGGGGAGGCTGCAGGAGCTGCAGTAAGGGCTTAAGCTGTGTTAAATACCAGGGAAAGTGAAATATTTAAACATGTAACTGGGCAGAGAAGCCGAGGCAGGCAGGGAGTGGCAGGTTAAGCCCAGGGGTTCCCCAGCCCCGTGGGGTGAGTGGATCTCAGGTGACACCAATCCCCACTAAGTGCTTTTTCCTCCCCTGGCTTGTGGCCCTGCCAGCCCCACGACCCCTCGGAGGTAGCTACGTTATTTAACTCATTTGCAGGCGGGGAAAACTGAGGCAGGGGAGGCTGGAAAGGGCAGGGGAGGCACCAGGCTCTCACCTTCCTTCTCTGCTGTGCTGCAGCCTCTCTGCAGCCTGGCTGTTTTACCTGTGTGCTGGGGAAAAGGGGAAATTTGTTTTTCAATGAGAACAATAAGTGCTTATCTAGGTCCCAGCCCTTTGACGGTCTGAGGAAGGTCCCTAATTCCTTGGCATCATTCTCTTGCATTCCCAGGAATGGTCCCTGCTCCCGAGAATGGTCTCTGCCTTCTTAATAGCAAACCTAGGTATTTTCTGAGCCTGGAGCCTGGATTGAGGACACAGAGCTGCTCTGGGCCTCTCCCACATCCTGATTCTTTGGTGCTTTGCACAGAGGGTCAGTCCTGGCAGCAGCACATGTCTGCCAGCCCACCCCATTGCATGGCTTCAGCCTCTGAGGGCCTGGGAGCATTTTCTGGCTGTGGTTTTATTGTCTGGAGCCTTTTCTGGCCCTTATTTTAGTGTCTGGCATTAAAGCAGTGCAGACAATCACCTCACCGTGGAGCTGAGGCTCCTCTTACCTTGTGCTTGGCTTTGCACTATGGCTTTGGCACCGCGCCGCCCCCAGGGCTGGCACAGCCAGGAACACTGCAGAGGGAGCAGCTGCTCTCCAGAAGCAGCGTGCCCAGGCTGGGCTGCGGTGCCTGGACGTGAAGGGCACTTGGAGCGGTCCCTCGGCGGGAATATTGCAGTCGTGGCACGAGCGGGCCCCGGCCCAGCGGCGGGAGCGGGGCCCTCGCGGCACCTACGGCTCTGTCTATACATATATACATTCAATAATATAGCTTTGAAAAATAGACATTTCCTCTGTAGAATATAAAATAGCATTTAGGATCAATCTCAAGTGACATGCAGGAGTGATTAAAGCACGGCTGCAATTCCGGCCGCTGGCGGGCGAGGACTGCTTGGAGCCGCCGGCACCGCGGCGGGAAGATCGAAGCCTCCTCGGGGGCATGGGTGGGCCCGGGATCGTGCTGTGCCCGGGGGGACCGGAGCCCCCGGCCGTGCCGCCCATCCCTGCTAGTGCAGAGGTGACCGCCGCAGCGCTGCCCCGCCGTGCCCCGAGCAGCTCCGGCCGCGGCTCCCGCAGGAAAACGCTGCGGCCGTCGGTCCTTCCCCACCTTCACACGGTGGTTTCGCTCTTCCAGAGGCCGGTCTTCATGCCGGCCACGCTGTCGGCGCTGGCCAGGTTGATGTCGTACTTGCTGCCCTTGAGGCCGCCGTTGTGGCTGCCCACGTTGAGGGGGTAGGAGCGGCGCTTCGCCTCCCTCTCGGCGCTGCCGCCCGGCCGCAGGTTGTCCCGGCTGCCGCTCCTCCGGCGAGCCTCGCGGTGGCGGCGGCCGCGGGGGCCGCCGTGGCGGATCTGGGTCTCGCTGTGCTCGCTCTCCCGGCCCGGCGGCAGCCGCGGCCCCGCGCGGCCGCCGCTGGCCGGGCTGGTCCTGCCGCTGGGGTAGCTCTCGGAGTGGCTGTTGTGGAGGCTCCCGCTCTCGCTGGACGGCTGCTCCGAGGGGCCCCGCAGCATTTTCAAGCGGTGGTGCTTCCCGTCCCGGCACGGCTTAGTTCTGCCCCGGTGGCTCCTGCGGCCGTGGAGGTTGCTGGTGTGCCTGACGGGCTTCCCGTCGGCAGCGTCCGGCTGCGGGCAGGGCGCCGGGCGGGATTCCGCCTGGCTCTGGGCTACCTGCAGGTTGGTGAGCTTGCAGCGGCCCCCGGCAGAGCCGGCGCTGCTGGGCGAGGAGGAGGAGGAGGCGCCGGAGCGAGCGGCCTCTGGCTCGCAGCCGATGAAGACCTGCGAGCCGTCCTCCGGCCCCAGCCCCGGGTGCACGTAGGCCTGCATGGGCAGCGCGTTCCGGTACGACGGGCAGCAGGAGAACCAGGAGCTGAGCACGTCCCGGCGCCGCAGGCAGTGGTGGACGAAGATGAAGAGCCCCAGCGCCACGGCGGTGACGCCGTAGAGGCAGCTGAAGACGATGTTCAGGTACCAGCGCTGGGACACGGCCGTGGCGCCGAACGTCCACAGGGCCACGTACAGCGCGTGGGTGGCCACCAGCGCCCAGAACTGCACCCGCAGAGAGTAGACACCGTCCCCCTCGGGGCAGGGCGGCCCCGAGTTCAGCGTCACCGAGATGGACCCGGAGTCCGTCAGGAGGTCACTGGTGCCGCCCAGCCGCGGCGCCGGCTCCAGCGGCTCCGGGATGTCTTTCTGGTGCGAGGGGCGGCACTGGAGGCTGAGCCCGGCGCAGAGAAAATAAATCCAGGTGACGAGCAGGATGAAAGCCACGGGGACGTAGAAAGCGCCCAGGCTGGGCCGCCACACCAGCCAGCAGCTGTGCGGGAGGAGAGGGGCTCTGAGGGGCCGCGGCGTGGAGCTGCTCCGCACCCCTGCCCTGATGGCAGGGCTCTGTGGAGCTGTGCCGGCTGCCTGGACGATTTTTTTCCCAGTATATGGATAACTCTCAGGAAAAAATTCACCGACCTTTTCCCAAACTTCTCCAGATTCCCAGTGCCACCAGTTCCCCTGCCCCAGCAGAGGGAGGCCACCCACGTGGGAGGAAGGGTCGAGCAAGGACACTTACTAGGGGTTGTTGTCGTGGTAGTTTTGGATGTTGACAGCTGCTGTGACCCCACAGATGATGAGGGGGATCCCGCCGGCGATCAGGTAGAACCTGCAGGGGAGGAAAAGCATCACCGCACACCCGGAGCCTGCGGGAGAGCACGGGCTGGGCTTGTCCAGGGGAGCAAGTCCCGCCCCAGCCCCCGGAGGTGCCCCGCGGGGCCGGGGCGGGGGGAAGGGGGGTCCGTACCGCAGCATGGGTCTGGGGGCTGCCTGGGACGTGTCCCTGTCCGGCTGCTGTGGCGCCTTCCAGGTCAGCTCCTTGTAGAGCACTCGGGCTTTCACCGCCATCCAGAGCAGCGTGGAGAGCGACGAGTAGTGCAAGATGATGCCGACCTGCGGGAGGAGGCCGCGGTTGGGGAGGGGATGCTGCAGCGCCCCGGTGCCCGTCCTGCAGCACCCCGCGGTGCTGGGCACTGCCCGGTACCCACGGCCTGGCACACGGCCCGGTAGCCGGTGAGGGTGATGCCTCCCGCGAAGACGGCGGCCGTCATGGCGATGTGGAAGCAGAGGTTAAGCAGCATGTGCCAGCCCTCCCGCGGGATGAGGATGGTGCTGCAGGAGGAAGAGCACAGCGGGCACCTGTGAGCTCCTGCCCGGCCCGAGAGAGCCACGGCTGCCTTTGGCACAAATCCTGCCCCCGGGGGCGGCACCAACAGCCCGTCCCTGGCCACGGAGCGTGGCTGGAGGAGATGTACAGCCAGGTCCTTCCTGCACACAGGCAAAGGACCAGGACCCAGGGCCTCCCGCCAGGCAGCACACTTCTGAGAATGTGCTCCCTCACTCTCCTGAGAGTCCCTGTCCTAAGGGCCACCTCACTGAGCCACCATGCCCATCCACCTTTGTCTGGCCCTTGGCACCTGGGGAGCTCCTCCCGCTGCCTACAGAGACACCCAGCCCAGCCCAGCCCAGCCCAGCCCAGCCCAGCCCAGCCCCAGAGCAGCAGCACAGCGCTGGATGCTCCCTCACCCGTGGTGGACGATGTAGGTGATGATGGTGGTGAAGAGGCAGAGCAGTAGCACGGCCGTGCAGGTGTACATGGCCGGGTGCAGCACCTCCACAGCGCCTTGCGCCTCGCTGGGGAACCCACTGAGCTCCTGCAGAGCACAGCACAGCCGGTCAGACCCCACAGCAGCGTCCCTGTGCCCCTGGCCCACCCCACCAGCTCCTGCAGCCCCCACGCTCCCCACCCCGGCAACGCCCCCGCCCTGCTGCTCGCCCCACACCTACCATGAGCACGGCCACGTTGCTGAGGTGCCGGCAGTGCAGGGAGGTGACGTTGGGCTCGCGGGCGGCCAGCTGGCACCCCTCGGCACTCCAGCCCCCCATGCCCCCCAGCACCTCGAAGTTCCAGTAGGCAGCCACGGGGTCCGTGCCCTCCCCGGGGTGCCGCAGGGACACAGCCACCGGCTCTGACAGGTTCCCCACTCCGCAGCCATCTGCAGCCACAGAGAAACCGGGTCAGCAGGACAAGTGATACCGCTCCACCGGCATCCCCAGAGGGGCTGGGCACATCCCTTAGGCACCCTGCCATCTCCCCATGATGAGCCCAGGGACGGCTCTGTGCAGCAGGAGCGCCAGCACAATGCCCCAGAGAGCTCCACCCCAAGCACCCCACCACGCTGCCCTTACAGGTCCCGGCGTAGATGACTGGGGTGGCCACGCTGCGGCGTTTGCCATCGTCGGCGAGGCGGGAGGAGTTCCCGGTGCTGCAGAAGAG